AACGATCTGACACGTTACCTGATGGTAAGCAATCAGCGCTGCTCATGGACACCCGTACCATTGAAGGTTTCAAGTGCATTGACGTATCTTTGGCGTTGCTAAAACCTTGGGATTTGAAGATTGAGGTAAGGGGAAGAGGAGAGCAAGTAGTGGCGGTAGCCTAAAAATCATTGTTTCACGTCGGTTTTCTGTGAAGACATTGTATACCTCTGGTTCACTATGTACTTTATTAATATCACAATTATATTCTAATGGTACTTTGTTTAGAAATCAAGGAATATAGAAATTGTACACATTATCAATAGCATTCAATAGTCAGTTTGTAAAAAAATAAATCCTTAGCCTTATGCTCTGTAACCATGATGTCATTTTTTGATACGCCTGGTACCTGGTATTTTTAAATCGACGGTGTGCGACGCATTACTTATAGAAATCAGTATCGTCAAGTCAATCCAATGTATGCGAGCGATGTCTGTTTAAAAATAGAACTATGATCAGGGATCAAATTCTTTAATATTGACTGCACAAAATTAAATATGAGCTGAAACAATTTGATGTTTTTAAAGAACGTATTCATAATTATCCTTTTGTGGTATAAGATGGCAAATAAGCAGCCGGTTCCCCCTATAGTTAGCAATCTACTACTCAGTTAGTTACACAAATTTCATGTAACTGCATCGGTTGGCTAAAGGCTGCTGCGTAACATGCCGTGAGTTCGATTCTCGCATGAAACAACTCTGTGTGTAGTCCACAAATTGCTTTTTCGTTTGTTTTGGATTTGACTGATGTTCGCGTGTATTGGTGTGTTGTATACTCACCACGACAATGGAGAAAAGCTTAGTTGGGCTATGTTTAATAAAGAAAAAGATAGGATCGTTTTTGTTTTGTTGGATTCAAATCTGAAACTGTTTAACCAAAACATTATTTAATCGTGGCTAGTTAACATCATCTCAAATGTTATGCTTAACCAATTACACATAAAAATACAAATTGTAGACGATAACAGCGAAATGTGAAAATTGGTTATATCAATACATGATAATATTGTATATATGTATATTGCGATAGCGTTGGATTATTATTATTCTTTATCCTCCTCATTTCGAGTCCGATCTTTGTTAGACAAATTAAATTCAATATTTATTTTAATAATTAAATACATTGCATTTTCATCAAACGAAACAGGGATATTTTTTTTATAAAATTAATTAGGTATAAATACGACAAAAATATATAATTACTAATAAACACATAGATGAATGATTATTGATGATTATTCATTCATATACTATAATTTATTTGCATAAAATATTACTCCATCTGAGATTAATACAGCATCTTTCATTCACCCACATTCCGTTCACCAATAACTGTTTACAACATAAACCGGCCTGCCAATTAATTATAATAATATCTATCAAAATATTCTATTTTTAACATTTCACCGTAGTGGAAAAATACAAACAAGTTTTTTAACCTTTCTAAAAATATATATAATCTGTAAAAACCCCATCGAATATTCGTGAATGAGGATCAAACGTCATCTATCCAAATTGCTTTCTAGTTTGTTGACATCATTAGTCAAATTCGTTATTTCGCAATTATTTATTCCCTCATATAAAACTTTCACTCATACGTAACGCCGTGTTTTTCTCTCAAAAATCAAAAACAAAACATTAAAAATAATCTATGTTTGATTTTCTATCTATATTTTTGGTATTCAACCTATTTATTTCACATTATACTTACTATCAAAACTTATACCCAACACATGCATATTTAAAATCTTTAAACAAGGAATTCTTCAATATTATGCACATATGTACAAAGTCTGCATCACGACTTCAACATTTTTTCTACAATTTAGTATACCTATATGTATGAGGGGTATTCATGAAAGATAAATAGACCAAGCTAGGTTTCATTACCAGAGAATCTTAATTAAAAAAAATACAGAGCAATACTCGGTCATCTTAAAAATGTTATAACTGAGAAAACCAAAATAAATTTAGTTTCATCTACAAATCGAATTCAAGATCCACTACCATCATAATACGTTTCGAGCTCAGAATCCTTTTTACGTAGAATTAAGAACAAAAATAAAAAACACCTGTTTTACTTAGTGCTATGACATTAAAGGTGATCACATCACTTAGACATAATTTTGAAAATATAAAAGTGCTAAATAATAATTCAACAACACAATAATTATTATACTATAAAACACTATTTATTTACAAAGATTTTTTCCAAAACAAAGAATATATGTATTATAAATGACCAAGCTACATGTGCCATTAGATAATTTAATTAATTTCCACATCAATAAAACCGGTAACAATAAAATAACAACAGTTGCCGAACGTGATAATCTCAATAACATGATCTTATAGGAAGCTAAGGTGTCGGAAAATACTTTAATCACATACATTTTACATAAAATGTAGAGTCTAAGAATAATTTATTATAATGACAAGTAAAGTTTTGGTCTCAAAGGAAAATAGTAAGGAGGAAAAGTTATTTTCTCAAGTGCGTGCGTAGTAGTAGGTTTTTCGAAGGCCTGTCTATAACCTTTATAATAAAACGTACGTTGTGTTTGTAACATTGGAACAACAAAAACAATTGAAAGTCACGAAAAAATGTTAATTGTGATTGTAAATTGTTTATAATAAATTGCTGACACCATTTTAAATAATAAACACAATTCAACAAAAAAACGTTTGTGATACGCAAATCGTACAAAAATATTATGTAAGTAAAAAAGTACTCACTTTTCAGCGCCCATCTCTTGTTCATGATCAATCCATCCAGGAATTTGTATCCATGCTCTCTGCACGTCGTTTCCTTCACGCTAGCAACTGCACTAGTAAGGGACAGTAGATCGCTAGCCAACACTACTGAAGACGCGTAGTCAGGAGACTCTTCCACATGCCTCACAGACCCGTCCCTATTACCGATCTCATCCCCATAAGCGTCATAAGAAGAAGACTTAGCTTCTACAATATTAGGAATTTGATCCCTTTGAACTGTACCATTAATAGTATTGTTCCTAACTAAACCCGTCAATTTCGCCACTAAATCCTTATCCACACCCAAATTTTGTACAGTTCTGTTAAGTATAGCTAATTCTCTTTCGTTCAAAGTTCTATTAGAATTTAATATAGGTGATAATTTTTGTAGCACTTCCTTGTTAAGTAGTGGAGTGTTAACTGTTTTCGGATCGATGGCGGCGGTTGCCGCGCACGCGATTAGAAAAATCGCCGCGGAAAACATGACGTCGTGCGCGTGCGCCGTCTCTAGCAGTACTGAGGCTTCGATCCTTCGATCATTGAATTTAGTCCTCACTTGGGTTCTGTTGCCTTTTTATTATTGTAATTATTTCATTGTTTCTGATCGGTGGTTGATTATCGGTTAGTTCTCGATCATTCCATGTAACTTTTAGTTTAGGTCATGAGTAATTTTTGGTTGGTAACCATTTTCAATTTTTGGTATCAGTCAACTCAATCTTAATTTAGTTGTAAGTATAAAATTAATACCACAGCAATATCTATTGATTGTATATAATTGAATGTCAAGACTTTACAGTTTTATAATAAGTATAAAAAAGCATTACGCAAAATTCTTGATACTAATGATTTACGTACTAAAATTTGTTTTTTTAATTGAAGAACACTTAATGTCACTTCTGCCGTTGTACTTCGCAATTTTATTCTGCTCAAGTCATTAGACACTATTGTATACGTTTTTTTATTCTAAAAGTTCAAGTTAAAAAGTAATGAGTACTTTCAATGCTTCAAATCTGCATAACCCTTACAGCTAAGCATTTTAATCTTTGTATCTCCCTCGCCCTAGTTGCAGAATTTAATAAAAAAAAAATTATAATACCTCTTGAAAAAAAACTGAACAATAGCATTTAGTCCTTATTTTGAAGTTTGAGGTTTCTCTCTTCATTTGTTATGTTAAAGCAATTCAATTTTTAGTTCGATAAAATTGACTGGACGAGAAATGGAGACTCGTTCAATATTGTTTATAATAAAAATACGTGTTTGACGTATTTACTAAAAGTTTGTTGAATTATAACATTTTTGCGTATAGACGCATAAACGATTTAATAGACACAGGCACATTTATTAAACTTTGAGAGATTATTGAGGTTTAAGAGATGTTTCTTTTTGATTTGATAAAACTCTATAAAGATTAAAAACAAATTTTGAAGGACACATTGAATTGACTAGCAATACGTGCACACCCACCGGCAAAAGCCATTATTGAAATAAATATAATGAGCGCTTATTTGTGAGAAGGTCAAGTTTCTAATTAATTACATTCTGCGGATTTAGGCCTTAAGTAGTTCATTCCACTAAAAGTTTGATCATTATCAATAATTGTGGATTTGGAATTTCAATTATTATTTTTTTGCGTTACTACTACTGCATTACTCGATGTTATTAAAAATCTTTATGGCGTATGTGTTTAAATAATCTACTAAAACTTCTGTAAATGCACACACACATGTACACTTTTCAAACCGCAATAATGTTCCTGCATGGAGAAATATAAGGAACAGGGTCTTAGTCAGTAAGAATCGGAAACGCCCCTAACAGAACGGAAAATTTTAAGATTTTCCTCCTCAAAAAAACACAAGTACTTCAATTCGATTGAGTACTTACGAATGAATCTGCTGAGTAAAGATTTTAATTTAATTTACAGTGCATTATTGGTTAGGTCCTACAATTTGACATCTATACTAATATTATAAAAAGGTAAAACTTGTAAGTTTGTTAGTTTAGAACTCCTGGTCGGGTTACCAAAATTCTTTCACTGGTATCTATCAGTACCAGTAGTTGCAACGTTCCTGAGTGCTAAAGGCTAAGGGCTAAAACGTCACGCTACGATCAAATGAAGTCAAGCAGCAGGTGAAACCGCGCGAGAGGATCTAGTACTCAATATAGCACTACGTGTTCTTTATATGAGTGAAATAAAAAATGAAACTAGAAAACAAAACTCAAAAAGATTTAATTTAACATTATAAACAACGCTACCTTGAGTATCGATAATATTGAGCTCCGTTACGGTTACCATTCGCAGTCCATTCCCATTCGTCTAGATCTTGGTCATCATCTCTAGGTTCTGATCTCCTTCTCACATAATGTTCTCTTTCCAACCACGCTTCATCTTCTTCATCTTCTCCGCCTTCTTCTTCTATGACTTCCAGTTCATCATCATCTATATTTCCAACAGATTCCTCAGCCACTTCTTCCTCTTCCTCTTCCAAAATTTCTCCTAGGCCTTCGTTATCTCTTTGTGCTTCATACTCTATTTCTGTCTCAGGAATTTCTTCTAATACTTCTCTATGTGCTATCAAATGCTGCCTACTTCTCATTGCTGGTACCTCAATAACCTCTGACTCTACTGTCTCTTCTTTCTCTTCTTGTTTTTCTTCTTTCTCTTGCTCGGCGTCTTCTGATTCCTTGGCTTCCTCCGGACTTGTAGATTTAAACGAGAACGTAAATATTTTGTGTAGGTTTTGCATTGGGATAACAAATGTTAGAGTTAGAATGATCGATGATAGGAGTATTGCTGCTATTTCTTGGACGTCGATCTGAAATATGAAATGACAATTAATACGACTATTATTTTAAGGGATCGTTTCTTGACTCGGAAAAAATATGATGTTAAGTTTTTTGACTTAGATTTTCACTATATTTCACCTACTCTGATCTTGTTCTCAAATATTCCCAAATATATTTTAAGTATTCTCACCAAGGACATCATAGTAAATTCTCTGGAAGTCTTGACGGTAGCGATGCTGGTTATAAACACGATGAACTGGGTCAGATATAGGGCGTAGGATAAACGGCTAATCAGCACCAACGGACGGCAGCATAAGAAACGTGACATAAAACCTGAAGAAGAATGCTAGCATTAATTAAAGTATTATTATACATACTCATGTTCTTTAATATGTTAATTTTATTTTTTTAAGATTCTGTCACTGTTGTTACAATATGCTATAATTTTTATTTAAATGCATCAAATAGGTCGTTTGTAAATTTGATGTCGATGAGAGCTCCTCAAAGGTAACTTAATAAAATTTACCAAAGTTTATTAGACCGTTCTAAAACAATTTTATACGTTAAAAAAAACATTGACTGCAATGTAAAGAATTATAATCGACTCCACCTTTTAACGGGCAAAGTAGTATTTTATGTAGATGTAACGTTTGGGAAGAGAATTCTATCAAATACTTAAGGATATTTTAATGGAATCGTGATTACGAGAAATCAAAAACAAAAACTCAAAGTATCAGCGATGAAAAGTGGATACAATAACTACGTACATACATTAAAAAAAACAAAAATAAAATGTATACATATATATGTTTACATGTATAAAGTAATACTTTTATTCATACCTTCACCAGAACTATGGACGGCATAAATCACCCAGGCGATTGCGAGGGCGGATGCAATAGGTGCAAGGGCAGCGTATTGAGCGGCAAATGAGGCACTGTATCTATACTGGAGTGACCCTGAATCGATGACTGACCACCAGACCAGGAACCATAGCGCTGTGCTGGATAGCCAGCCAACACCAAGGATGAACTGTAAACAATAAAAAAGATAAGTATCTTAAGTTTTCACGTGAGAGATCCATTTTGAAACTTGCATTGGCATAAATGGGCACGCTCGAATAGAGTGACTGGCCACAGACTATGTCATACAAACAATTTAATTGAATTTCGTGTCTAATCGTAATATATAAAAATGAATCGCAAAATGTGTTAGTAAGCACATAACTCGAAAACGCCTAGACCAATTTTGCCAATTCTTTATTATTATTTTTTGTATTTACTACACTCAGGAGAAGGTTCTTACCAAAAAAAATAGAAAACGACACGAAAATGGGGTTTATGTGACCCTTTCGTTGTTTGAGAGTCGGACCCGAGGGAAGCGGGGGCAGACCGATAGTTCTATATACAAAGCATTTTTCAATTCCAAGGTGTCACACAAACCTTAAGGATTTTAAACGTGTGAATACCAAGTGAGAATAATATAATTGTTACTTAAGTATGTATATGAGGGCGCTTCCGCTATATTAAAGTTTCACACGTGTTTTATTCTACGATTATAATAATAGCCATTCGTAATGACAGTATTTTGACGCATAAATTAGTAGAGTTTTAATGATACAGCATTGACATGCAGCAGCTACTTATTATATTTTAATAAATAGCAACACAGTTTTATGCAGAGTCAGTATTATTTTAAAAACGTGTCTTATAGTAGTCCCGCTTTTTACTTAGCTAGGAAAGACGGCTGCTAGCCAATAGACTTAGAATAAGTTTTGCGAATAAAGCAATGTTTCTGGATTTTTTACTTCTTAGTTCAAGCTGGTTGATGTTCTGAGGAAACTTAGTTTGAGTACAAGTTAGTATTGAGAGCCATGCTTCGACACGAATGGATGGGTCTGCTCAACCAGAGTGATACCACGGCCTCACAGAAAACCGGCGTGGAACAACCACAGCGTTGTGTTTCGTCGTGTGAATGAGGTTACCGGAGGCCCAATCCTTCCCCTCCCCCAATCCCTCCCCAAGCCCAATATGTCCAAATCCCTAGTTGCCAAAAGGTCGGCAACGCAACGCGGTCGTAACTCCTCCGCGGTTCTTACGGGTGTCGCTGATTGCTTTCCATCAGATAATCCGTTAGCTAGAATGCCGATATAAAAAAAGAGTGGTCGATGTCCAGCAAGGGTTGACAAGCGCAATAAGGCTTTGGCCTGGTACAGGTGAAGCAACGAGAGTTTTTAGTCAGTGAGAGATAGACATTGGTCCTGACGCTTTAAAAAAAAAGCAGAATTGACTCGACACCAAATACTTCTTACATAAAATCACTGATGACTATCAAAATACATTAGTCCTTGAAAACAAATTAACAAAGAAAGCAACTGAAAATGCGTGGCCAGTCTCCTAAGTTTTTAATTGGGCCTATTGTTAAACCGAATAATGGTAATTAATATTTATAGAAATTCATAGTAATTATGTTTGAAGATCTGCCCGAGGGAAGATCACCTATTGTGAGTTTATTTATTTAACTTCGTTTTAATGATCATTATTTTAGACTTTCTACGGCGTATTATGAATATTTTCAATGATGTATATTAATTATGTATTTAATTTATTTTTCTTTTTTATCGTTACAAGCGAGAAGAAACATCCAATTCGTGCCGAAGTATGAATCTCATTTTTCCTGGAATTACCTATAGTGTAAGTTTAGATATATAATATATAGGTATAACGTTTAGTCATAATATAACTGACAAATAATACATTATTAATGACATCCAATTTCATTAAAGGCTGATTTTTCAGTAATAATTTTGACGAGATACTCGACTAGTTTCAAGCCATGCTAGAGGCCCATATTCATGAGCAGCATCATTTTTCAGTGTTTATATTGTGACAGAAAACTCTTTGACATCATGACGTCAATGGATGGTTGTCAAACGTTGCCTAGAGATTGTAAATTTCGTCGTGAATTGTCAACACGAGTTGGTGTAATCGGTAAGGCGTGTGGATTACGCCACAGAGACCCCGAGTTCGAGTCCCGCCGTAAACATGAAGTTTTTTAGTTGATGGAAGTTTTTTCGAACTTTCTGGAATATTTGAGTGAAAGTAATGAAAAATTAAGGAGCGAGAAGGAGAATAAATAAAAATGAATAACGAAATTATTGGAAGGTTCTGGAGGCATGACGATCAAAAAAGAATAACGAAATTGAATGTTCTAGAACCTGACCGGGGGTATATAAGCGGAACTGCGGCTCACCGCTGGCAGTTGAGTTCTAAGTCTAAAGCGATTCGGAAGAAAAGGAAGAAGTGAAAAAGAAGAAAAGTGAGTGAAATAGTGAAGTGCAGTGAAATAGTGAAGTGCAGTCAGTTAAGTGAAGTTAGCGTGAACGGCAAAGTTGTGTCAGTCGGCCGGACTCTGCTGGAGAGGAACGCCGATAACTTAACTCCGTGGACGCTGTAACTTAAGCGCAATAGAAAGTCTGAAAACCGGTATTAGTGTTTCATTTCATCCAATCCCGTAACCCAAGCCCGCATAGTCAGGAACGTGACGTCAGGCACGTAACAATATAAAACTTATCTGGGGAATAATTACGATGCTGTCGCGTCAGAATGTTTGTATAAGACAGTGACAGCAACAATTTTATTCCTCAAATAACATTTATCTGACTATTAAAAAATCTGTTGTAAATGAAATTTTCTAAGAACACTTTATTATAAATTAATAACCGTCTTCCGAAAACTAAAGCAACCTCTTGTAAACTAAACCACGTCGTTGACAGCTTACCTTGCCGTGTTCTACAGGTTTCTTCAGAGCCATGCCCAAACTTAGACCGACTAGGTACGGCGTGGAACGATGTAGGACGGATGTGTAGCTCAAACGAGCTGTTCTGTACAGCTGACTTACGCTGTAAACAAAAGAATTTAGCAATTTAATAATTATAGTTTTAAAAAGATTGATTGTATACTATTTTTGTCAGATCACTTCTAATGTGATTGAGTCCGGGCAAAGGAGAACTATCCCACAATTTAATATGTACGAATGGACACGATCACTGGTTTCCTCTGTGACGTTATCGCCTTGTCGTTCTCTTACATCGCTCCAAAGCTTAGTCTCCACTATTAATATTGGCAATAATTTCGATACTCATAGAATAAAGACAAAGATTTGTGAGGATGTAACGCATAATTAAAACCAGTCTTACTATCCGGAGGTGGGAGGACTTTATCAGGAAAGGACTGCAATGGTGAGTCTGTTGTCAATCACTACTGAAAACAGCAAATAGGAACTACTTAATCTTCAAAGAATGACTAAGTCCATATGTGCTGAAGCATCTAGCCAGTTATTTCTCAATGAAATGAAGGACGGCCGCAGTTCTATTAGATTTATACTATATTGACTGCACGGTTGGCGCGGTGGCTGGGCAACTGGCTGCCGCGTAACGTGTCGCGGGTTCGATTCCCGCACGGAACAACTCTTTGTGTGATCCACAGATTGTTGTTCCAGGTCTGGGTGTGATGTGCATGTGAAATTGTATGTTTGTAAACGCACTCACGACACAGGAGAAAATCCTAGGGTGGGGCAAAGTTTTAAAAAAAAAATAACAAAACCCTAAATTAACTCTGTTCTATACATAATGTATATTGACGACCCAGTTAAGGACATGACAAAATTAATATTCCAAACTGATAACTTAACTTCCATTAACTTGTAAAATGTTCACGTTGAAGTATCACAGTTTTGTAAACAGGTTCAAATCAAATCAAATCAAAATCATTTATTCCAAATAAACCATAAATAGGTACTTTTGAAACGTCAAAATAGAATAGTAGTCTGTCAGTCTGTTCGTCAGTGAAGCTAGGTGCTCGTTCCAAATTGTAGTTTCGAATGGAGAAGAACGAGCAAGAAACTCCATCGTTACTCTTTTAAAAAAAATATTTGTTTTACAATTCATCAATAATACATTTTTTATACATTACTGTACCCCTATGTGAGAACAATGCAGAGACAAGTTGTTAATAAAAAGGAACAAATGATGGTCTATTTAATCTATCATTAAAATTTTAATCCTTTGTTGTCTCGTACATGGCGCTCACATATGCGTACTCACAATCCAAAAGAATGCTTCTATATAAACTCATTCAAGGTTTCATTAATTTTGAGAATTTTGATAACTACTGACTACATATTTGAGAATTGTCCAGTGGAGCCGAACCAACATGCTGCCAGGCATTCTTATCCTCAATATAATCTGAAAGTTTGTAGTATGCCTGTCTACATAATTCGCGTTTAATATAAGTTTTAAATTTTCGTTCATTAAGATTTAATACACTTCTTGGAATTTTATTGTAACAATTTACACAGAACCCCATAAAGGATTTCTGTACTTTGGACAGACGGAATCGTGGCACAGCCAGCCTATCTTTGCCTCTAGTATTAAAATTGTTCGTTCGTTCGTGTTAGGTTCAAGTTGAACTCCTCAAGTTTAACCGCCTTTAAGTTTTAGTTTATAATTTGAGAAAATCGGTTCGGTCTTTGTTGTAACCTAGTTTAGTGCATATATTATAGGTACAGTTTATGTAACATATTCTTGGTATTTAGCAGCTTTTGTAATTCTTTATTTTTTATGTTTTTGTCTGTTTTAGGTTCGATGTAATTATGTTTATTCATTTAAATTAATTATGTCAAAGAGTAGTTATTGGTTTTTTTAAATTAAGTTGTCATGAATAACACATCTACTTATAGCGAAACAGGTCGCTAAAAAAAGGAAGTGTAAAAGTAAAATTATTATTTAACATTAAATATAATTTTAAAGATATAAATAACAAAGAAATAATTTAATATTACACAAATAATTTAATATCTTAATCTAATATTTGTCCTAATAATTTAATTTGAAGCTTTTGTGACCACACAAAAAGTTCATAATAATAAATTTAAATCATCAAAATCTACGTTTTGTCACAATACGAGCTCTGGTACTAACAACATGATATTCAAATAGCTAAAATTACAGAAGGATTAATGTAACATTAATATCACCAAATATAGGTAATAAAGCCGACTTTTGATATCACCTACACAAAATTGACAAAACAAATGAAATAATCTGCCGCTAATTGTGATGGAATTTAAATTTTCAAATAATCATTACATATTACATTACATTATTGGGTGCAGTATTATGTGATGTACATTTAATTACCATTTTCATGTAAATCGATGTTTGAAAATATAGTTTGATTACAGCTTCTAATTAACATTGTTGAATTAATTTTTCTTATGTTTTTATAATAACTATCGCGAGACATACCTACTTAATTAATTAAAAGTCAGTAGGCTGCGCGACATCGCCTCGTCCGCGCTCGCTGCTCATGAGGAAGAACCCCTCTGTGGTTCGAAACTAGTAGAGCGTTTCCCAATATATACACGTGAGTAACCCGCGATTTTAAGGTATTGTAATTTTTCTTATTTTGTTTATTATTAACTGTGTTGTTCTTTTTTAATCAAATGAATTATTTTTCTTTCTTTATAAAATACTTGATCGTTATTAGTTTGCAATGCTATTAAAAACCTAAGATAAAAATATGTAATAAAAAATATAGCTACAGTCAGATAATACAATTTCTTATAAATAAATGCTACTATTCCATTAACGAATACCTAAATGATAAAAGTATATAGACATAAACAGTCACACACACACACACACACACACACACACACACACACACACACACACACACACACACACACACACACACACACACACACACACACACACACAAACACACACACACACACACACACACACACACACACACACACACACACACACACACACACACACACACACACACACACACACACACACACACACACACACACACACACACACACATACATACACACACACACACACACACACACACACACACACACACACACACACACACACACACACACACACACACACACACACACACACACACACACACACACACACACACACACACACACACACTTACAGTGTAGATTAAGTGATTCAATAACATAATAACTTACTTGCCTATATAACCTTAGTTTAAGTCAACAAAAATAAGTAACAGTAACATAGCCGATAAGAGCTTCCTCTCTCCTATCCCACTTACTTTGCTGTGCCCGACAGGGTCCATATGAACTATTTATAAGTACTACCACCTAAGAATACATGTGGAAAGCAATAAAGTATTGAGTATTAAGTATTGAGTATTGATATTTTTATCTCTAAATAATACATAATATACGACGCTCGCTTTAAAAGAGTAGCTCAAATATGAACTTTATTTTCTACAATAAATGACACATATTTCATGCGAATTGTCTCGTGGTACGGCGCAAAATCACAGGCCTCTTCCAGTAGCCTAAGGTACATAGGGTACATCTCATCACGTCTCGACATAAATCTATACCTACTTTAAATATTACTAGCGACCGCCCGGGTGATACTCAAATTCTCCACTATTTTTGAATTATGTATATGTACGTATACATACATGTATACCTTTCTCTTCAACTATTCTATCTATTAAAGAGTCCGCATTAAAATCAGTTGCGTAGGTTTAAAGATTTTAGCATACATAGGGATATAGGGACAGAAAAAGCGACTTAGTTTTAATCAATTTAGTGATTTAAATAATATGGAAGTCGGTAAATGTACTATTATTAAGTATAACAATTAATTTTTAATTACTTTAAATACTGCTATAATCTGATTTGACGAAAATATTGAGAACTTAAAAACTACATTGAGTGATAGAGTTCATCGAAAACACTATACCTACATACGAATAAATAAATAAATAAGTCTTTATTGCTATAATAAGCGTTTTGAATTATAAAAACAAAAATAATTAAATCTTAAACTACTCGGATTGACTATATTATTATATATATTATATAGTATTATATATATCTATTATATTATATTATTATAGGTATAGTATATGCTGTCCTAAAAGTATGGCCATTTAAAGGTAACACCTGATTTTTTAAACTATAAGGAAGTAAAGCTGAAGCTCAGGATTCGTCATGTAATTTTTAAAATAACTAAATTACAATACATATTACTCTCATTTTATGTAACTAAAGGAAAAATTCTAGGATATAATATACAAAATCAATTTTCCACATAAACGACTGACGTCAAGACTCAATCAATTTAATTGCTTTATTATGTAATTAGTACATGAAGTATGTACATGAGTACATAAGTATAAAGATATGATTAGAGGTCACCATGGTCAACAGAGACCTGTAAACCACGGTATAATTATGTTACATCATAGTCGGTATTATACGCATATAAAAAAAAAGATGATCTTATATATATAATAATGTCGTGGTAGCCCGAAGGTTAAGTTAATCCCGCTTCTCACGCATATGTGGGTTCGAAACCTGGCAAGTACCAATGTGACTTTTTTCGAGTTATATGTACTTTCTGTGATTATTTAGACACCACTGAAATACGGTGAAGGTAAACATTGTGAGGAAACCTGGACTTGTGACTTTTGATTTGACAACGCCAACCCACTATGTGCAATAATTTATGTGGCTTAACAACGGCTGCTGGGTCAGCTTATGATGGTGTGTAATTTTATGATATTTATTTACACCTTTATTTCAATTTTATCTATTCTTGGTACCATACATAAATATTGCTGTAGATAAAGTATTGAATACTTAATCATAAAAAAAACTATACGTAGTATAATCTGTTTATTTCTTGTTTCAGAAGTCAAAAATCAGCAAATAAGAAATTTTGATGTATGATACAAACGGAAATGGAGGAAATTACCCAGGCTTATTACCTGATAGTAAGAAATGAAAGCTGCCAATAGACCCCCGTAACATCAAAGGAGTTAATGCGTAGTCACCCTTTTGGGATTAGAATTGCGGAGATCTAGGGATTGGGGTGGGTCCTCCGGTAGTCTCACTCAAACGGCAAAACAACATTTTCTGCTCTAAAAGAACTTCTCTAAAAAATAAAAGAAGAATTAACAATCACCTGACTCCATGGTAAGCCAGCATGGTCAACCGATGGTCCCGAACGGTGGTGTATCTGGAGTACGCTGCGATGATATGAAGTCCTGGTATAAGGATCTTATAGAGTCCTTGCTTGGCAGTGACCAGCCATACTAAAATGCAGCCAATGATGGTCAGCTGCATGTCCAGGGCCAGTTGGTGCGTTTGAGGGGCACACTGAAATTTAATGGATTTTTTATTAAGCAAATAATACTTTCTTTGTACATAAAGGGGTTTTTTTTGAAATTTGATCTTTAGCGAATGGGCTTAAGGACGGCAAAGGTTTTGGACATTTTGAAACACAAACCCTAATAGAAGTGATACTTGTAGGACAAAAAGCTGAATTAAATGAAGTCAAACTAAAAAATGCATCGAATATCAAATTACATATGAAGGTAAGTACATACAACTGGTATCTTTGGGATAAGACTGTCGCAACCCCCTAATACCATAATCAGACAATATGCAGAAGATTTAGAAATCAAAACACCATAACAACGAACTCTGGCGCCTCCCAGGGACATGAACAACGAGTCTTGGATTCCACCACGAAATAACAACATGTAAGTAATGTAAGAACCAAAGCAATGTATAACCATTCAACACATACCATATCTTCAAAACCGAAGTAGTTCTGCACATACAGAAGGTTCCACCACCAGCCTTCTTGGCACACTTCAGCGTTCTTGGTAACGAAGGTTCCCCACATAGGGCCACTGGACAATTTGTCCCAGACGTACGCATAGAAGATCACCACGGCAAATAGCGCTGGTGTCAACCTGGAGGCAAAGAAAGATCGTACGTAAGGAAATATATACAAAAAAGCATTGTAGATAGAGACAGTTGAGCTGTTCCATGCTAAGAAAATTTGAACATAGGAGTTAGGTATTAAATTGATTCGAATATAAAAAAAAAATATACGGGTTGCCACCCCAATTTTAAAGAATGAGCTATTATATGCACCTGTTGGTGAGCTTACAATAAGAACACCCGCAACGCCAGAATAGTATGTGCATATTTCATTGAGAAGATATCAAAATTTGCTTAATAAAAAAATATTTCCTCCTGCATTAAAAACGAAGCAAGTAAATGCACTTGATGTTGCCCTACCGTTCTTCAAAGTTTTCAAAAGGTCGGACTGAACAAACACTTACCAACTTTACAGTTTACTTAAAAATCAATAAACCTAAAACAATTAGATATATACATAGACATAACAAGATCGAGAAATCTTGTCTGATTCTTAGATCGAACGAGCCCTATAGCCAAACTCTGTATCAATAATCCTTATCGCTTAATAAGCGAAACAAACGTGTGAAGATTTGTCAACATCGATCTGTCACGTGGTCAAAGGGACCAAATAATAAAAAAAAACTTAAAGGTATGTCTGTTTTGTCAAAATTCCCCCGCATATTGAAGTCTTTTATATACAGTTGATTCTTTGGATTTTTATAATCTGGTAAATTATATTTTTGGCTAAATTTAAGTACCCTATAAATGCCTTAGGGTGATTGGATTTTCGATTTGGCTTAAAAAACATCAAAATCATACTATGCTGATGATCTTTGTCAGTTGGTTGGTGGATGAAGTTTGGAATTATGTATTTGTGCAATGATACATTAATTAATCCTTGATAAAATAGCAGACGAGTTTGATGGGTATAATAATTTAAATGATTGTTTGTTTTAGATTGTGTTATGTAATTTAGATATTATTTTTGTCAACTTAGCTTTAATTTTCCTTTTTTGTTGCATTATTTGTTCAAAATTGATTAATTATTTTAATAACCGCGCATAATATTATACTGCATGCTGTGCTTCTCTATAAGTAATGGGGCACTTAGAATGAAATTTGAAATGTACAATTTATATAGTATAGTGGACTCATTGTTGAGAAGCCTAAAATAAATAAATAATTAAAATAAATGAGTTCGTTCGTGTTTTATGATTTTTTATTTCAGTTTAATTTAAATAAAATATTTTGGCGTTTTTATTTTCTACACATAAATTGTAAACAATTGACCTACGAAAACATCTTTTTTTTTCTCAGTAAATAAGATAAAACAGTTTTTTTTTTATAAATATTTCTGCAACACATATGTATTTGAAGACGCACATGGAAATACATTTTAATAATGTAGGTATGAGAATCTTGCGATTGTTTCAAACAAATAGTGCAACGTCCACCTCTGATGTTTATATAATTTTAATTGTCAAGACAATACAAACATTCGTTTTTCTTCAGAGAACTTGAAATCAAATATTGACATAAATTGTTAGCAATAGTAACCTTTACTATGTGTTTTCTATAAGACAGCAAACGATCAGACGGATTACCAGTACCAGTAAGCAATTGACGCCGCCCATACCCGCAACACCAAAGGAGTTTGTAATTCCTTGCCTCCTTTCGGGTATAAGATGATTGGGGGATGGGAAGAAAGACTGGGCCTCCAGTCATCACACTCACATGGCGAAATACAAGACTGTGGTTATTTCACGTCGGTTTTCTGTGAGGCCGTGCTATCACTCCGGTAGCACCGACCCATTCGTGCTAAAGCATTGCTCTCCCACATTTTAATTGTTAGGTAGCAGTAGTAACTTTTACTATGTGAAATATTATTTCCGCTAACGCATTTATTTCGTTCTTTCCAGACGTTCACTGCTGAACATAGATCTGTGACCCGCTGTCCCTGTCCCTGTGACTTACACTAACTTGACTATACGCGTTAAGAAACTCAATATTACAAATGAAATATTAAAGTTTTTATTTTCTTGATCTATAACTAAAAATCTAAATAAATCGTTCCGAACTTTTCGGCGCTCTGATTGGCTTATTCCAAATCAATCAATCAATCAGAAGCTTACGCGGTAACTCGCACTCAGTGCAATACGCTACAGGCCTATTGTTAAACACCTAAAATGATATAGGTACCTACCGACTGTTAAAGAAAAACATCGCGACTTTTTTTCCTCCTATTATGACTTTTCTATAAATATTTTTTTCTTGGCAAATACGTATGAAAAAACGTCAAATTAATTAACCAAATACCATAAGTATTTTATGCTTTATTGAAAATAGGCCCTTAATTAACTACAATCAGTAAAATTTATCACCTTCCAAGGCTATTCTCCTTAAGTTAAATCAATGTGTTACTTGTGTATTATCACGGTACCATACCATAATTATAGGCAGAGTAGATATTGAAATATTTTTTTAACCAGGATGTGGTAAAGCGCTGCTAATTAATAAATATTGAAAGGCATTTTTGGCAGTCCTATTTATTATGTAGGTACCGTTTTTGCCTTCAATTGTGTTCTAACAAAAGCTGAATAGAATTTCCAACCAGATTCAAATTCATAAATAAAAGGCTTAACTCTATTAAACAGTTTTTTTTACATTACATGATAAATATAACCAACTGCGATAACGATGCTTAGACGATGTTGACGATGGTGTTGTTATTCACCAAAATAACTATTTTCAATACATTAAAAACACTTTTCGTAAATGGTTTCGTAAATCCCATTTTAATTATATTTTTATGAAATAAGACATGAAGTGCAGATGAGAATGCGGGGTACGCGCAATGGGGCACCGCGACCTTGAGCAGGAGAAGGAATGGGGTTTTTAGTCAGTAAGAATCTGACACTCCCTCTCGATGATTTTTCCCTCGCAAAATAAAATAAAAAGAGTAAAGCGCAATATTGTACGGTCAGCTGCAGAGAAATGGATCCCCCCCTTGCAGTACAAATAGAGGGATTATTTTCTCTTCAGCTGAGTGTACTACGACCCCGGCCTGCAGCAGGAGAAGGAATTGAGGGGGTGGTACTTAGTCAGTAACAGCCTGACACTCCCTCTCGCTTCACATAGAGTGAAAGAAGCAATTTCATGTATTTCTCATTTGAAAAAAAAGAAGCACACCGATCGTCTTATGTTATGGTTTGCAATACCAAGGCAGAGTGTACACAAGCGTATTGTCCCAGGGTTTGATAAAAAACCTGGACTTATAATTTCTTATTATAAGTTTTAAATCGCCTATCTGGCTTAGATAAGTGTGGTAATGAATTTTCAAACCCTTGCTCATTAGAAGGCACTTACAGGCCGGTAATAATATGATGATGAGTATTTTAGGAAGTTGTACTGTAGAAACTGTCTTTTGGAGATTAGGGAGTCGGATTGGGGTAGGATAGGGAGGGGAAAAAGGAATGTTGAGCCTTCAGTAGCCTAATTCACACGGCGAAACACACGTTGAGGTTGTTTCACGCTGGTTTTGTATAAAGCCGTGGTATCACTCCGATCGAGCCAACACATTCGTGTCGCAGCATGGCTCTCTAACTTAAATGTAATAATTATAAAAACAAATAAACAACGGTCGTCATCAATGTATTTGCATAATTATTTCGTGTTATGTAGGTGTGTAATTACTTATACGTACGCATGTATACGTCAGCAATAAATATTGTGTACATTCATAATTCTATATTGTTTTATATTGATTCGACTTATGTACACTTCAAGATGATTTCCTTTTAATTGATAATTTAGTTCTCGACAACTAGCTAACCCAAACCTTTTTTTTTTCGATCTATGAATTTAGCAGATGGCCGTGTATTGTGATCTTGTGACGTCACGTTTTTTCCGTCAAAAACAAAATTATACTATATACTTACTTAATTTCTTGTAAAATTTGGTAGAAAAATACGGATTTTACGTACATATATTATGTATTTCTATACTTTATATCCTACTATAATATTATAATATAAAAGTTTGTGAGAATGTATGTAATGAATTGGATATTGCAGTCCGAATACAACGGCACGGCTATAACACCAACTAGCAGCGGTGACAATAATGTAGGAGTAGCTAGTCTTAAAACAAATGAAGGGCATAATGATATTTTTTTAAATATTTTATTGCATTACTAAATCAAAATTAATTATTTTTTTACCAAATCGAGTACTCGATTGGTCGTATTACTTTGCGTCTTTCTAAGCATTAGACATAGTTTGTTTATGTTTTCTTTTTAATCGTTCAGCCTGATATCTTTTGTTGACTGAAGAGCATAACAGTACCTAGTTCTGTGTTTGATTCCAAAGTCTAGTAGCATTTTGTCTTCAACAACGTTTACAACAAAGAGTAAAGCAGCTCTGTATAGGATACTTTTTAGTTTTAAAAAACCTAGTGTATGCACTGGAAAGAGAAAGAGCAATACAAGTTGTCTATCTCTGTCTCTTACCCACACTGAAGTAAGATTAAAACTATTTTACTTTGAACGTCATGGTTAGCCCCCTGGGCTGTCTTTTAAGTAGGCGGGATTAGGATGTTTTTTCAAAAAATACTTGAATTGCCATCTCTCGTCCAGGGTGAGGCAAGACGGAATATTAGACTCTTACTAACTAAAAACTACCCTGTTCCTTCTAGTGCTTCAGACTGAGGCAGCAGGCTGACTCCCAACCCCGGCTGAACATTGAGCCCCATTTCTGGTGGTCTATTGGCTATTTAAAGCGCGCCCGGAGTGCTCGAGTCAGATTCAGGACGGTGAACTAACCTTGCTCGCCGTCCACAGACCAGTGTTTACGGTTGCCAGTGATCGTTACGCGATCCTCGACACCCGGGATTAGGGTGACATTGCGTGTGGAATTGGTGTTTTGTCTTTTTTCGGTCCATTCCAAACTTAGATATATAACCTTCCACAGGAAATATAGCGGTCAACCATCGGCGCCGCCCATGGACATTCATAACACTAAAAAAGTTATTTGTGTGTTTTCGGCCTTATGTGGATTACGGATTTAAGGACAGAGGATTTAAGGATTATGGATAGTGGGGTCTGTATTGGGCATCGGTTAAGCTCAGTTACACGGCAAAACACAGCGTAAGTATTGTTTTAATCCATTTCTATCGAGGAGGTCCGTTCGTACTGAAACATGGCTTTCCCACACTTACATATGTATACCGGAATACACCTAATTCTATTTACTGTGCATGTCTCTCATATAAATAGTTAATAAGTTAGTAGGTAAGGTTATAAAAATAGCTAAATTCTTCAACTAAATTTCCATAACAAATATCTAAAAAAAAGGCCCGGGCTTACGAAGTTCAGAATAATTTAGTGGCGTATTTTTATTGTACAGTATTTCCCATGTATGAATCAACAAGCTGGCTAAAAATTGTAAACCGGTTTTGGACAATTTTTGTAACATTTTTTTTGTTTTTAGATACTTTGTTTATGCTGTTTGAGTAATCTTCTCTCCGCACGATACAACCTTCAGTTAAAAATAGAATTATTTTTTTATTTTTCGTTTCGTTTTTGTAATTTATTTTCGGCGCCCAATTGGGCTTGGTTAATAAGTTAGAATGGTTGCTATGATTTTGTATTAATTATATTTTGATGGACCATGCCTGCGTCTTGGGTTTTACCTAAAATATAATTAAACTATAGGTTAACGTTAAATTTATTCTGGAAAAGCCTATTTTTATTCAAGAAAATACAATAAACATATAAACAATTGTTAGTTTTTCTACATATTTTATTTCACATCACATCATCAGGGTTTTCTAAGCAAAAACCGCTTCCCACTCAAAGAAGGTATGAGCATTTATCACAAAGCTATGGCTAGCTTAAGGTGGATTGGCGTTTTCACTTCACTATTCGATTCAACTAAAAATTAGAAAATAATCTGGGTTTCTACACGATTTTTTTCTGTACAGACTGTCAATACTTAGTGTCCACACGTACACATTTAGAAATTCCCACACGATGTTTTTCGTTACATTTAACGGTGAAAAAGTAATATAAAAGTAATTATTAGTAGTGTCCTCATAGGTGTCTCTCTCTATTTTAAGCACTTAAGTTACAGATCACAGTTTAAAATGCTCAGGATACACCCATCTCTATTAATTAATTTATCATTTTAGAAACAGTACATACCCATCTATAAATGATATCATACTAGGTTAAATAATATGAGGTGGTCATATTAATTTCCCAAGTAAATCTTGATAATTATGAAAATCAATATAAAATCTTGAGAAGTCACACGACTTACTCACACGGCGTGAATTTCGGTTAAGCATGGTTTCTTGTAATTAGTGAAGGTCATGGTGTGACTGTACCATGAGCAAGAAGCACTGTCGCTTTCATTCGAATCCGGGATTATTTGAATTCTAAACCAAATCTTTGACCGGAATTTCCAATATTCAATAAATAAATCTGCGTTATAACACCTATTAGGTAAATAAAATCGGAAACTAATATTAAATCTGGATCTTTGATTGTGCGGGTGGGCACGGTGACTTTGGAACTCTTTTTATCATGTCGGCAAACGAGCAGACGGATTACCTGATGGTAAGCAACCATTGCCGCATATTATGGACACTCGAAGTACCAATGGAGTTACTACAAGTGTTTTGCCGGCCTCTTGTGGGTTATTAGGGATTTAAGGATAGGAGATTTGAGGATTTAGGATGGAGGGAGGGGGGAGAATACGGTGTTCGTTCTAAACTCGTTTGTATCCCGCATGAAATAAATCTTTGTGCTATCCACAAATTTTTATATCGGGTCTAGGTATCGTGTAAACTCTTTTGTTTATGAAATTGTATGTTTGTAAACGCACCCGCCACACAGAAGCACATAAAAATGTTGGACAACGTTTATATAAAAAGAAAAAAAATAAATCAAAATTAATATCTCAATAAACATTCTAATTGATGTGATTAAATATATTTTTACGATTAAAAAAATGTTATATTACATCTTAGGCGCTTTAAAACTATTAATCATGTTTTCCGAGTCTTTAAAATATAATTACTTTGAATCGACAAACATATTTTTAAGACGTAGTTACGGATGTTATATTATTTTTTAAGCTAGACCTATTATTAAAATACGTTGTTTACATAAAACGCAACGCAGATTACGGAAAATTACGGCAGTTTTTATTATACAAACCATAAATCGAGTTCATTGTGCCTACGTATATTTTAAAGGTATTTCCCACTTAATTGAATATTCAATGCATTGATATTGACTTCTTATAGTTGTAAAGCATAGCATTAGGATTTTTAAGTACTAAATTGTGATAGACAAATACACAATGCATTATTTTTATTTATATATATGTATGTATAAGTATATGTCCCTACAATTAGGTATACTAAGTGACCCGGCAAACGTTTTTTTTTTTGCCATATAAATTATTTCGAAAAACAATGTCAAGGGTGAACTTATAACTTAAGGGTATCAAAAGTAGCCAGTAGCCGATTGTCAGACCTTGGTATCAGATTTGGTAAAAATCAATAAAACCGTTTTGGGATCAGCCTAAGTAACAATGTTACATGTCTCTAAAATTTCATATAAGAAGACATCTACCTCAACTGTCTGAAATTAGTTGTAATTAAAATCTAATATCTTTACAAATAATTCATATCAAACAAACGAATCTTAAATTGTATCGCGCTAGAGGCAATAGATTTAATGAAACGCCTGTCAATTTATAATAGCAAGATGTGGCTTATCGTTGTATTGCAATTTGATCGTATTAAAATTTTCATAATACATTTTTTTTCTGATATTTAAATAAAGAATATACTATAGGTATTTAAATTAGAAAAGAAATTGCAGGAATTGACAGATAACACTAAAAGTATTATATTTGTAAATTTATATAAAATGAAAACTGAAATTGCAAACATTTATAAATAAATACCTATCTACATAAGAATCTCTACTACCAAGCTCATAGCTTCACTCACACAAGGTTTTGCCCAATACTATTAGATAACTTCTTGTAAACTCTGCCCAATTTTCTAAATGAATCCTAAAACTATTTTTATTATGAAACCGTCCAAGCCATTCTTCATTTAACGAATAATTATTGTTTTTTTTTTATTAAGACGTTATCATTATGTTGCCGTGTCCAGACCGGGTTTCATGATGGAACTTACTTATATTATTGTAAAAACAATGAATGTACACATGAATGCAATAAATTCTTTGAATATTTGAATACCTTAAATATCTGGAGAAGAGTCTTCTAGGAGCGCCGCTGTCGCTGTCAGCAGCCCTATGAGCTGTCAGAGTTCCGCTTAGCAGCAAGAAACAGTCTGTGAACATCCAGCCAGCTCGACACCAAGACCATAGGGGAGAACTCGCTATCTGTAAGTCATGAATAATATCAATGTAGGTATATATATTTTGCAGTATTATAAAGAGTTTGTATGTTTGTAAGTTTGTATGTTGGGGGTAATCTTTGGAACCGCTGCTCGGATTGCCAAAATTCTTTCACTGATAGATAGCTACAATATTCCTGAGTGCAATAGGCTATAAAACATCACGCTACACTACATAATAATTACAAAGGTATATTTTTTCTCAGAAAAATGACTATTTCTTCTGATTTTAATATGATAGGGTCGGCAAACTAGCAGACGTGTTATCTGCCGGTAAGCAATCGCCAAAAGACACCCGCAACACCAGAGGAGTAGGTAACAAATTCGTTGCCGGCCTGTTGAGGTTTAGGGAAGTCTCCAAGGCTAAAGACAACATTGTAGTTGATTCATGCCGGTTTTAAGTGAGAGCGTGATATCACTCCTACTCACAGAACTCTCACATTTACAGAAATTCTTAAAAACAAATAATCTGATTCTTTACATACTAGTAGTTAAGGTCCTTTCATACCTCAGACTCAAAAATCCCATAGAACTGATAAACCATGATCACTGGTGTTATCTAGAAATCAGAGTAAGTATTAGCATTGAATATTTACTCAATCCCGTAGTATAAGACGACTTTCCAATGTTGGACTGTCACACTACAGCCACTTAACCTTTAGCCAAAAAACCATTTAATAAAGTATTAACAGCTTCTAATAATTTCGTAATGGTATCGCCCAAAATATTGTCGCATATACCTGACGCCTAGACCAACCAATATGGCAAACTGCCAATGATAACACGCTCTGAAGAATGTTTGCTACACGAATATAACCCTTCTAACATAGTAATAAGAGTTTTGTGGAACACGTAGGGTAGGGAAAGCATTGAAATTTATCGATATTTTGGCTATGATATTTCTGAGCTTTAGTATTTAAACATTGTTTTATGAAATTGGACAAAAATATTAAAAGAGTAGAAATAATTCTTTATTAAATACGTTCAACAAAATTTAAAAGAGTACTTAAATGAACGCGTAAATACTTATTGTACAAAGATTGTGGTTGTATAAAGAAATGGTTGCAAAAATAAGTATTTTAAGTACTTGCCTTAGTGAGAGTCGAATAGATGAATAGAAATTCCTTATTATAAAACATTTAATAATAGGAATTTACATTTATCCATCACTCACTTAACTTAAAAATACTTATTGTTTGGTGATGTGTTTTAATAAGTAGATTATTTGCTACATTTTATGATAATATGGTAATGTAGTTTTACCTGAGCTTAAAAATGTTAAGCCCAGGAAAAAGTATTTTATCATGGAACACAAAAATGTAGTACCTAATAATACATTAAACGACATCAGAACAAATGACAAAATATCGACAAATCCAGACAAGGAAATATCGAAACTTTTCAACACTATGGCTATTTATTTTACAGGCCTGCTTTTCATGCAGGTGTTCCAAATAACATTCCATGGCAAAGGTTAAGTCTTAGAAGGTCACTAAACACTGAATAACTCACTCTTAAACTGTCATCTTTCAAGTTTTCAAAATATGCAATTCTATTTCATTCATTGTGTTTCGCCGTGTGAGTGAGGTTACTGGAGCCCCAATCCCTTTCCTTCCCCTATCCCTCCCCGATCCTTATTTCCGCAACCCCTATCCCAAAAGGCCGGCTACGCACTCATAACTCCTCTGGTGTTGCGGTTGTCCTTGCCCTGCTGTCCTGCTAGTTTGCCGACTTCTACATTAAAAAAAAAATTCACCACCAGTTGTATCTATTATTACTATACTATATTATTCCTAGTTTCCCCTTCAGACACCCATTGATCAGGATCCTCACCTCAGTTATCCTCAGCCTATTGGTATATGGCATCACAGCGACAGGCAAGAACTTGTGAGCGATCAACAGAGCCATTGTAGCGATTCCTCTAACACCGTGAATACAGGAGATCTCATCATCAGTGCCTGGAGCTGTCAGCTTGTTTATCGTGTAGTAAAGCGAGAAAGAGCTTAGCAAGCCACCTGTGGAAGAAAGAGATGAAAAATAAATAAATTAGGACGAACTGGCTAGTGTCAAGATCCGATGGTCAAGACGCCAAGAGGGCTCTCCTCGTGTATAAAGAAATTAAATGTTTTTTATTCCTAAAATATTATCTACATTTTATATTTTCATTAAGCCCAAACTAGCCAAAGTCTGTATCTTGGGCGCTAATTTAATTAAGGAGCCAAGTTTGTAATCTGGCAAGTATAACTTGTTCCGAGTTATATTTAATTTTTAATTATATTAAGGACGCTATTTAGACACCACTGACATAACGGGAACTTCTAACTGAAGTGGTGATTAATGCTGTTACTTTCTCCGTGTGAAAGACGCCTTGCTGATCCGTGGGCACTTACAGACTAGTGATCACTAGTCTGTAAGTACCAGCACACCCTACCGGGTGGCAGAAGTGAAGGAAGGAAAAAGCCTCTTAAGAAAATAGGTTATTATTAAAGTCATTATTGCTTTGACTCGAAGAGCATGCTTTGGTGAGTAAGGTTAATAATGGGCTCTCCAAGCAGATAAATAAAAAACAAATTTGGAAAATTCTCTTGATTTGTGTATAGTGACAGAATTTGCCCTGGTACACAATAAGTCAAAGTTCAGAAAACCCTACACTTATGATTCATACGAGCAAACAAAAATCATGACGCACAAGAAATTATTATATATTATATATACAATTATACCTATATACACCGCCACGTGCGAAATAATCAAAAATATCTGTGCTCAACCTTGTATCACCAGAATGCAAAGCACCTAAAGATTTTATATCCTAAACAGATGTGCTGCATAAATCTTTCCCAAGACTTTTGTAATAATTATTCAGGTCATCTTATTTTTAACGACCCCTTTTTATTTGTAACAATTTACGTCACGGCTCTACAGTACTGTACATTATTCTTCAAACGAGAGTAAATTCTACAGTATAAGACTTCTGTTAATTAATTGTACCTACATACATATATAACAGTTTGCAAGTCTATAGTTATATACCGTTAATTACACTTTTTTTGATTTTGAGATTACCGAGGCAAACTTTCAAGAGCCAACGCCTTTTCAGGCCGAAAGTTTTTAGCTTGCTGAAAACAACCTGGTGCCTTCAGTGACTGTAATGGGCGCCGGTGCCTCTTATAAACCTGCTCCAGATCCCTCATGGTGCAACGCCTGTTACGTCACATCTCTAAAGAGAATAGCATCTTCTCTGACCGATCAATATCCTAGGTTCACTACACAACGCAATGAAGATTTGGAAACTCAAGGACAAGGTACAGCTGTTTTTTTTAAATCTATTGAATCCAAATACCACTTACTGTCAATTGTATTAATGGAAGTCAAACGGGATAATTTAAAGAACATTTGTTTTGTTTTCAACCATCTTCTAATTAATGTAGGACCTAGTTGAAAACTGTATTCTTATTTTAATGATGTTAATACCTGATTTTTTACTATCACTCTTTCCTTTTTCTTCATCTTTTGTTTCTTCCTCATCGCCCTCCGCCTTTTCATTAGAGTCTTCGCTCTGACCTTCTGGTCTTCTTGCAAGAAAGTCTTGAACAGTCGCCACAAGTACCAGCATAATGATGACACCATAGAATGATCTGGAAACATAAAGTTCAACAAATTAATTTCCCTTAAAATTCCGCTTCAAAATTATAAAATGTTTGTTTATCTCAATTTGTTAGCTCTAAAAGTAATAAATTTATGAAATAGATTTCTGTAAGAATATTTTAGGAGACTGTAATTAAAAATAATCTAATTTTAGTTACACTCATTATCCTCGCGGAAGACCGCTCATTAAAAAGAAACATTGAGGCCAGTCTTGTTATTTCAAAAGCCACCTAAAATTATATTGATTTACTAAATAAGATTAGACAAGTCTACTTTGTTTAAATGTTCTCGTAACATCAGTACTATAAGTTCTAACAATATTAATCTTAAGTATGTAAATACCTCATTTATTAAGCGTACAAAGGTGATAATACTTTAGCCCTTATTTGCTGAATTTCGACGACTAGATCATATATATTTTTTTTCTTTTTGTATGGAATAGGTCCAGACGCCAGAGGAGCAGACGGATTACCTGATGGTAAGTAATCAGCGCCGCCCATGGACACTCACAACGGAGGAGTTACGAGTGCGTTGCCGACCTTTTAGGGATTAGGGTTTTAGAGATTTAGGGATTTGGTTGTTTCACGTTGGTATTCTGTGAGGCCGTAGTATTACTCCGGTCGAGCCAACCCATTCGTGCCGAAGCTTGGCTCTCCCACACTAAATAGAATTTACATTATGAATTCCTACTCAGTATTAGGTAGTCGAAGTTAATGTAGCTTCAAAATTTTATAGACTTTTTTATTTTCATCATCGTCATATGTAGCGTCACGGACACTGTAAGTCAAGGTCAATACTGACATATTCGGTTTAAACTTTAACTAATTAGCAACAGAATTGAATATTAATGATACTTACAATGTCAAGATAGTCGGGAGTTCCGTCCATTCCTCCCAATAATCCCCTTCTTCCACATGACAGTCCTCTTCGTCCACCTTGACGCGAACAACCACTCCACTGGTGTGCTGGTAGTGTTTGACGGCATCCTTGATGACCACCTCGACATCCTCAGGGTTGCAGGCGGCTGGCACGCAGACTCCCCAACTCAACGTTGAAAATCGCGGCACAAAGTGACCTGGCTAAACAAAGCATCGGGACGCTTAGTGATTTAAGTTGACAGAAATGATTGTGAAGTAATAATAGCAACATTAACTGTACTTCAAAAGACGTTTGAGTTTGTATCAGCGTTTCTTCTCAGAGTAGTCGATTAAAAAGTAGTGAGCTTCATCTGTTATTTTTATAAATATCTACCTATAGGTACCTACATAATTTTGTGTGACGTGAAAAGTGCAGTTTTATTGCTTATTTATATTTTTTTTTTTTCATTCATGGAACGCCTCTTCAAGGAACAATGACATTGACACCATCAACAGTATCATCAAGAAATATGATCACAATACATTTCATCATATATTTTTATAGGCAGACAGTGACTAGTTACTCGTCTAGTAAGGTTGGCACCGATATATTCGCGATGCGTTTGACAGATAGATGATGCAACTGCAGCCAACCGTGTGGTCGTACATAAATATAAGACATTACTTTGCTCCTTTTTTTAAGTACATCAGACTTCGAAGGAATACTACCAAAAATACTTGTATGAAGAAAATGAGGACTTTTAATTCCGTAATGTAAATTTTTGAAAAGCTGTTTGAAATTGAATCTTTCTTAAGTGTTTCTACTTGTGTTAAAATTCGGTTTATTAGGTACCTAAGTGCAAAACTAAAAGTATGAGGTCTGGAATTAAGGGAAGTCAGGAAACAAAATAGTTTTGTTACTTTTTTAAATTACATTGTAACTAACCAATTACATACCTACTTAGACCATTACTCATATTTCATAATTATTCACTACTTGCAACACTTTACGTGTTAAACAAAACAAACATATTATGGTGTATACATAATAAGTATTGTAATAATATGTATAACTCAAACAAAACAATAATCTCTCAATTTAATGGACTAGAATGCTGTTTATTTTTACTTAAAACATAGTACGTTTAGAAGTCGATCTATATCCCACGCATGAAATGTAAGAAAATAATCAAAATAAAATATTTTTAACCGAAACTCACATCATCGATCCGACTCCTGATCAAGTTCTTGGCTTGCGCCAGATGCACGGGCGTCTCCAGCTCTGGGTGTTCTGCCTTCACGTCCAGTCGAGCCAAGCAGTACTTCCCCTGGACCTTGACAACGCTACCACTCTCTAACTGAACCCTCGCGCGGCTCCCCACACACTGGTCAAAGTCACCTAACTGGATTCCATTACCTTGCAGAATACCCGAGGGAATCTTCGCCGTAGCGTCAAGCACTGTAATGAAAAATTCCTGTTTCGTTCAACTATGCAAACCCTTTGGGAACACCTGAGGCTAACGCAAACGCGTCAAGGCCATGTCAATGTTTACTCCTCTTTATAATCCCTCAGTGTATTATTGTAGGCCTCAACCTTGGACTTGTGTAAACCAAACATTTCACGTTTAATAGCCAACCAGTAAAACAAAAATGTCCTTAAATTATACAGTCAAATCCTTTGATTAAGGAGCTGCAGTAATTCGTTATTTATGTTATTTTTTGCAAAACATCTGTTGTGCAAACATCTGAAACATTGCCAATATAAATAGTTGTACGTTAAAGTAATTATTTCGGTAAACGGATATAAATCTCAAAATACGATTGTTGAATTTCTAAACTTTGTTTCTTGGATCGTGCTAAGAATAAAGTAATACAAATAATGTACACTTACTATTCAGGGCCCATAGTTTCGTGCCTCGTAATTGCCTTAACACAATCTGCCCGTGACGCCTGCATTCCGGATTATGAATTCGAGAAAAATTTGGTGCAAATGTGGGAAAAAATGCATAAAAGTCTTCAAATTCACTTCTGAGCAAATTACGCCGGTGCAAAGCGTCCGTAACGTGTTTTAAATGACTCTCAGTCGACGAGGACATTTCTGGAATATCATCGAACTTTTCTTTTGATGTTTTATCCACTTTTTTATCTGAATCCGATTCTTTTTTTAAGTCTTTTTTAGAGTCGTGCATATTGTAAGTGTCTTTGATGGGATATTTTTTCTTATGCTCCGGAACTATTTTTTCTGTTATTTTCATGTCTTCGTGACTTGATAGTTTGTCCTCCTTTTCTTTAGATTTTGCTTTAACCGAGTCTTTTTCTTGTTCTTTCTTGACTGCTTCTTTCTTTGGTTTTTCTTCTACATGTTTAGGTTCTTTTTTATCTTCTTTTTTGGGAGATGGTTTCTCAACATCTTTAATTTTATCTTTTTCTTTTGGTATTAGTTTATCAGACTTATGATCATCGTCTTTAGATTTACTCTTACTTTCTTTAATTTCTTTTTTAACCGGTTCTTCTTTTTTGGTTTCTGCTTTAGGTTTGACTTCAGGCTTTTTCTCTCCGATTTTAACTTCTTCTTTGAAAGGTTTTTTCACTGGTTCAACCTTTTCTTTGGTTTCTTTCTTACTGTCGTGAAGGGGCTTTTTGTCTATTTTAATTTTATCATTGGCAGTAGTTTTGACTTTTATCTTTTTTAAAGTATATTCTTTGTCGTCGTCGTCACCATCATCGTCACCATCATCATCATCATCATCATTGTCATCATCATCGTCGTCGTCGTCATCATCGTCATCATCGTCGTCATTTCCAAAAATGGCTGAGAAAAAAGGCTTTGATTGCGTTTCTTTAGGTTTTTCTTCGTCAGGTTTCATGTCACTTTTTTTAACAATAGCTGGTCTAGTCTTATCCTCATGTTTAGGTTTTTCGTCAGAATCATCTGAGTGTTTTTTATCCTTACTTTTATGTTTTTTTATCTCATTTTCGTGAATTTTTGTAGTCGCTTCAAGACTAGGGTCAATCTTTAAACCGAGCATGTTAAATGTTTCCATAATACTTGACAGAGTTCCGCTATAAAAATCTTCATCATCGTCATCATTATCATCGTTGTCGTCATTTTCATCGTCATCATCATCATCATCATCATCATCATCATCATCATCATCATCATCATCATCATCTTCAATAGATTTTGAAGATGACTTTACGACTTCTGAGCTTTGATCTTTTATTAACTTCTGATCAGTTTTCTTCACCTCAGGTTTCGATTTAATAGATGGTTTTTCATTATCATCACCATGAACTTTTTCTTTGTACTTAGGTAATGAAACTTTCAAATCTGGTCTTTTATTTTCATGTTTGACTTTTTGATCGGATTTCTTGGCTGGAGTGTGATTGCCATCGTCGTCGTCATCATCATCATCATCATCATCATCATCATCAACGTCAATGACTTCTTTAGATTTAAGTGACAATAATTTAGAATCTGTTTTTTTACGGTCTTGATTTATTTTCAAATCAGGTTTTTTCAGTTCAATTACTTTTGGTTTTGAAATAACTCGCTGGATATCATCACTATCATCATCATCATCATCATCATCATCGGCGTCGTCGTCGTCATCGTTGTCATTTTCGTCACGTTTCACAAACTTAGAGAGCGATTCTTTGGTTTTTGAAATCTTTGCATCTGGTTTCGGTTTAATCTCATTTTTCTTTACATCAATCACTTTTGACTTTTTCAATGAACTACTTTTAACGTTGTTACTATCGTCATCATCATCATCATCATCATCATCGTCTTTATCTTTACCTAAACTTAAAAACTTTTGACTACTTGCCTGTTGCTTCACTTTGCTAGCGGAAGCTTCCTGTTTCAAGACTGTCTTAGTTTTCAAAATATCCTTTTTATCGTCATCGTCATTTTCGTCGCTTTTAAAATCAAATCTGTGAGCAGATTTAGTTTCAGCCTTCTGATGAACTGGTTGCTTATCGCGCTTCTTCAAATCTTCAAACACATGTTTATCACTTTCGATTTTAACACTATGCAACTTATGACCGTCCTTCACTTCACAATCGTCACACTTTTGCTTTCTTATATCGTGTTTCACAGTCTCGGCTTTAGGTAAATCGCGTACACGGAATGCGGTTATCACTGTGGCAAGGATAGGCAGGCAGATTAAAATTAGAGCAAACGTCCATCGTTGGCGCGCCATGGCCGACGCGGTGCGCGCTCACGTCGCCATACTCCCGGACTGAAACGATCACGAACCTTGGCGTTTATTTGTAACGCTTTGGTAAAGGCGTATCTCATTGAAACCGGTGCTCATTGATGGTTCTCGGTCGAGGTTATGGGTTAGTAAGAGTATTTTAAAATTTTGTAGGAGCGGGTACGTATATCTGTGGGGTTAGTAGTAGTGAACTGCCGTTAGCTCAGCTGATGGCGCTCGTCCAAGATCAGAGTAAAAATAGTGTTGCGAAGTCAATTGTCCGGCGGTCGCGCGGTGTACCGATTAGATTGACTGTATTGTGATAGATCAGCATTATTGTTGCTAGGGATCGAGTTTTGTGTCTATTTAATTGTAATTAGTATTTCAAATTATTATTATCAAGTACTCTTTTGATTTTTTATAAGTTGCGTTAAATATAGCCAGACTTCGTTAGCCACTAACGATAAAATACATATTTGAAAAATCATCAAATATTTAAAACGAACGAAATAAAACAAGTAAGGCACATACTCTGAATATTAGGTAGAATTACCTACAGGTGTCATACGACAATCAGTTAGTTTATTATATTCTCTTAATTCATTTATAAGCATTTAAAGTTTTATTAGGTTCACATATGTTAATTTCAACCAACACGCTTCAATCCAATTGTAATTAGACCCTATTACGTGCTTATTAAGAGTTGTTTTCAAAGTTAAAACCTTGTTTATAATTAATTATATTGTTCGGCAGACTTAGTACTACTGTTTCAAATGTTCGTAAAGTAGATTCGTTTCTTTAATTATTTGACTAACTTTTGAGAGTTAATGTTTTGCATATGACGACAATATTTAACAAAAGAATTAGTCGATTCGCCCACATTGCTAAGGTTAAAACCCGGGAATATATTATTCCAAACTATAATCTCTGTGTCAAAGAATAACAAATATCTTCCCATTTTCAAATACTTAGGTACAAACTGTCGCATTTAAACTTTAGTAGGATATTTTCGTACCTATCTAACTCATGTAACATACAATATTTTAAAATGTAGATATAAATAGTAAAACAAAATACATTAGGTATGTATCATTTGCATAAATTATCATAACGCGATGAGTTCACAAGCGCCTGTCATGTGACACATAGTAAACATTAACAATCGCGTTGCTATTCATTTTTAATAGGCGTCGGGTGTTTTTACTATTTAGTTTACTTTTACACTGAAATAACACGTGACATCGAATTTTCCTTAAATCGTTACTTTTAAATTTTCCAGGTAAATGCTATGTTATAAAAGGTTTATTGTTGCAGAAAAATCTACACGAATAACCCACAAAATTTTATTTGCACAGATAATATGAATGACTACATTTTCTTATAATAAGAGTATATTGATGTTAAATTTCCATGTACTCATGAGTTACCCCGATTTTCATGATGTCTCATTACCAATCCAAAGATTGTAGAATAAAATCAATGATGCCTCGTTTCCCCTACAAACCGTAGGGTTCCTCAAAAGACACTGCTATCTTCTTTTAAGATCTCCTTATTCCTCCTTTATTTGTCTCTATTCTGCTGATATTCATGTTTATATATTTAAGTAAATATTTAAGCTACAGTAACGACATAACAGTTATTCTTATAATTGCATGCAGTCTTGATTCATTAATATTTTTCATGGCTCAGCATTATACCTAGTTTCAATACATACAAGACAGAAAATATGCGGTTTCACATATGCCGTGGCCTCTTTTTGGACAGTCTACGTGGCATTGCCAAAAGCATGGTCAATAACCTCTTACAACCAATTTATGGCAAGACAAGGAAATAAGGAAGAAAAACTGAACAACAAAAATATATTGCTTTTAAAAATACTGCTTAACTTAGCTGCAACGAAAAAAATCGTTTATACAGACTTAAATAAATATAATACCAATAAAACCACATTTTACGATACATGCTTATTATTAAAATTAAAGTAAAATAACCCAAGGTTTCCAAATACTTTCGATGTATTAAGCACGATCTCTGCTAGTACCGCAAGGGCAACTTGAATCACAAACTACTTTTATCAAAATCCTTTTACTGTAATATCCTGAAGGCTATGATTTCACAATCAAAATGCTTGCTAGGTCAAACATTTATTTATTTTTAGACCTTTATCTATAACTATAATAATGTCCTACTTATAATATACTAGCTGACCCGGCCAACGCCGTACGACAAAATTAACTAATCTTATCTGACTTTTCAAACCTTTCCTGGACTTCCAAGAGTATTTCAAGACGAAATTTTCCCAACTCAGTCCAGCCGTTACCGAGTTTAGCGAGAGTAACGAATATTTTTTAAATTGTAAGAAGATGTTCATATATGTATAAAATACTCGCTTTTGCTACCAGCATTACATAGTTAGCCGGATGAAAGAAGCCTATGTGTTATTCTCTAAGTGGTAATCTCTAGAAACCTTGTGCATAAGTTTCCATCAAATTGAAGGAGGTGTCCTACTATATTCATAGCCCGAATTAGTTCAAGTATCTTTTGTAAAACTAATTCATCGCAAAAAATGTAACAACCTTAACCCTCAAAAAACAAGACCTAGAATCGCACTTAACATTCACCATAAGAAAACTCACCGGTCCGAATCATTGATTGATTTATAACTAAAGATTTCGTAAGGCAACCCTGACTACGAGCGGTCAGCATTAGCCAAATACATGAGTAATGCATGTGCCACATTGTATTGTAATTAGCTCTCTGCATTGAATTTAAAAAACATTTTGAACTAGACCTTATGATCTTGTCGTAATTTACCCTTGTGCCTATTAGTTGATTTTGACCCCTGTAATGTCTGAAATATTTTTTATTTTGGATGGGGTAAGCAGAAGTCTTTTGGCCTCTTACATTCAACATATCTTTTTTTATATATGTCGACAGTCACAGGCTTATCCTCCTTTACATAATCTATGGCCGTACTTCAAGAACTGTTCCGATCTCCGTACCTTACGGGAATGTTGAAAACCAAAACCATATTGCCCGACCCTTCGACTGAACAGTCTTCGTCACACTACGCAAGATGAACTCAAAAAAAAAGTAAGTATGAGTACACTATCACCCGCAACCCGAATCCTTTTCAAAGGCTCTATTGATGTTAGCTATAAGTAATGTTAACTACATAAGTAAGTGTGGGCGAGCCAAGCTCCATCGCGAATGGGTCGGCTCGACCGGAGTGATACCACGGCCTCACAGAAAACCGGTGTAAAACAACCAAAGCGTTGTGTATCGCCGTGTGAGTGAGGTTACCGGAGGCCCTATCCCTCCCCATCCCCCAATCCCTTCTAACCCTTAAAGATCCTAAACCTGTATCCCTAATAGGCCGGCAACGCACTCGACAACAACTTCTTTGAAGTTGCGGGTGTCCATGGGCGGCGCTGTTTGCTTACCATCAGGTAATCCGTCTGCTCGTTTGCCAACGTATACCATAAAAAAGAAAAAAGTAAGTGACTGTTAGCTATAAGTAAGCTATACGTCAGAGACTATATTTGCACAAGTAACTAAGCAGCCAACGCGAGAGTCCGGTCTTAACCGTGACCAAAAAAGATGGTCTCCGATCGTGCACTCTGTCACTTGAAGACCTTGGAGACGGACAAAGGACTGGGTGACATACTAATCAATCCACACATTGTTAATCTGATTAGTATCTAGGTACTTCGGACCTTAAATTAGTACAAGGTTCAGTAATTTAACAATGAACCGAGTTGAGAAATTGAGTTGGGTATGGGCTTATCTTTTTTTCTTCAAATTAATTATTTTAAGTTATGCTCTCTCTTTCTTTTCCAACCGCTTTTCTTAATTTTTTTTTTCTTTTTTGGTATTGTCATTTATATGTATATATTACACTACTATTTTATGTGTTAGGGTGGCCAATGTCCATAAGAATCACCTAAAAGTAAGCAACCAATGATCCTCTAGACATCTGAATCACCAAAAAAGTTACGATTGCGTTACCTATTCAAGTCTTCAAGTCCTCAAGACTAAGGATTTTAAGGATCTGGTCAAGTGCTAGGATAGCGGATGGGGGAATAGTGTTGAAGCTCTGACAACCTCACTCATACAGCGAAACATAGTAGTTTCACGCCAGTTTTCAATGAAGCCGTGGACTCTGATCGATTCTTCAAATTTGTGCCGAAACATGGCTTCCTCACACTTAACTACTAAAAATCCATATCAAAATTATCCACGAAACAAAAAGATTTTCCTTTATGAACTACGGAAGGAACTACTGCAATGGCATTTAGAAGAAAAATAACCTAATTGTTCTATAACACACCTATCTTCGTAAGAAATATTTTGCAATAACTGCCATGTGATATTGTGTCAACCTATCATCATGTCCTGCCATCTTAGACGTGAGGACGAACATTTTCTTTCATTAGTAAACATATGCACGCTTTTTCCTTGTAAAAGCAGTGGCAGGTACGTACCTATATACCGTTAGTAGGTACATAAAGCCTTAGCTATGTATCTACATCTATGTTTTCCTGCTTCAAACATTCGAGAATGTGATGGAAGCGTCACCTTTCAAGTCAAAACAGCGAAATATTCATTTTGCACAAAAAAAACTTCGTAAAACTTGTTTTACTCATAAGGAAAATGCTATTGTAGCTATTAGAACTATCTAGATGCATAATAAATAATAGGTCTTTACCTGTGAAATTGCCGTTTTGCATGAAAAAAATTTAACTCATTTTTTGATTTGAAATGCGATGAAAATGTAACACTAATCAATAAACAAATGACTACTTTTGGAAAAAGAATCCCATGTTTTTAAAACAAAATTAATTAGCCTTAGCCTAACAAAAACTATTTTGATTTGAAATGGCCAGTACTGCAGAACGGCAATTTCATAGGTAAAGACGTATTATCTAGATTTTATTACACAACAGACTCTTGTCCTTAAATTTCCCGAAATACCCGAAACCCCTAACCGCAAAAGGCTGGAAACGCACTCGTTACTCCTTTGGTGTTGGAGGTGTCCATGGCGTCGTTGATTGCTTGCCATTCAAGTAATTTGCCTGCTCGTTTGTTGCCCGATCTTACTTACGTACCGTTTTTTCCGAGGGGGGGACTATCATGAAACGAAATTCCTCTCTGATCTAGAACTCTTCCCCTGTGGGCAAGAGGAAATGTCAGACTTTTGATGAACACTATCCCGCTAATCCTCCTGCGCCGGGCCGTTATAATGCTTGCACCCACTAA